ACTTCTCCTTGTGAATCATCACAATTAGGAATAATGAATGTAAACAATCTTGGCCCTCTCGAATCATGGTCATTGCAACAAATTGCCTATAAATGCATGAAACTCAAATTAAAAGATAATCATGTTGTTTTTCCATTATTGCATCTACACTAGATCCAACTTCACTATAAACATTGGGCATAATTATAAAAATATTGAAAACTACTTATTTGTATAATGAGAGTTGTAGTTGTATGTCATTAGTTTTTTTATTGTTCATTTTTAATGTTGAAATATTATTTTTTGAATGCATTTTATTTTATGCATGTTCATTTATATTTATTACAGGTAGTGTGTGGAGGAGTTTTATTTTTGAATTTTGTCATAATAACTTTAATTAATCATTTGAATTTTTAACCCCATTAAAATATCAAAGGATGGAGACTACGTGGACTGTAGTTAAATTTATTGATGAAGACACAGTGGAAGCAGTCCCTACTACTTGGCTGTTTGGGAGTGGAAAATGTTATTGGCCACCATTCCCTAAAGATAAAATAATGATGAGTATAAGAAGACTTGAAAGACCCAACAGTTGCTGGCCCCTACATGATATTATCACATTTAGGAATGGAACATATGGTAATCCGAAATCTTAGAGATTGTAGAATTGTGTGCAAATAATATTTTTAATGTTTCAGATGATTATCTATTGGCAAGAAACAAAGCCAGGAAAGCTGAAAGCCAAAGTGATCTGAACTCAGATAGTGACAGAAGTCTAGAAAATTGAAGAAGAAAAAACCTATTTCATCTTCTGATGAAGAGAATGACCGAGGGGAAATTCGCTGAGGAATTTTGGTGTACACTTGTGTGGAATTACGAGGAATTACAGTGGAATTGTATGGCATTGCGAGGAATTGCGAGGCATTACGAGGAATTGCGAGGCATTGCGAGGAATTGCGTGGCATTACGAGGAATTGTGTGGCATTACGAGGAATTGCGTGGCATTGCAAGGAATTATGAAGCATTATTGGCATTATAGTATGAATTGCGCATGCGTTAATTTCTCGATTGCGTCATCGCTCGCCACGTGTTCCAAGTTGTGTTAACGGAAAACGTGAAATCCTTCAGTAGACTGTTAGCTAGGCTAGGAAAAAGACATCACGATATTACACATACGCTGTTCTGGTATCTGTGCTCTGAAATAAACAAGGTAAGTGACGAATAAACGTTATTTACTCGGTTATTTATTTAATTGGTTGTTCTTATTTTGGGTGTTATTGTACAAGTTTTATCATAAAGAGTTAATTAGTCCTTCAGTTAATTAGGTTGGTATTTACTAGATATACAGGGTATCCGGAGATAACGACAAAACCCGTGGGGTTATATAGGAACTGCCAATATGATTGCAAAATGCCATATATACAAATGTCCAAAATCGCTTCGTTACTGACATACAGAGTGATTTGTTAGTTTGGACAACAAATTAAATCTTCCATATTAAATGCCGATTTGGGTTAAATTTGGTACATGAATTAAACTGAAAGGCCTTAACAAGTAGCCCTTTGAAGAAACCAATATCAGGACCGGAGTATTCTCTTTTTATCATGTTAAGTTACCCTGTATAATTATTATCAAAAATCTGATCTCAGATTCAAAATCTACGGAAAAATACCAATTTATTAGCGTTTATTAGTAAGCAAATATAATCCACAAACAATTCAGTCAATTCCTTTTTGAAAAAGTTCCTATAAGATTTTTTTTAGTAGATTTCAAATCTGCTATCAGATTATTGATGATTGTTTTACTAGGTCAGTTATTCCTACAAGAACTGAACATAATAAAGATTCATTCCGGCCTTGATACGAATTTATTCTCAAGTTTTTTTGGATAAGTACTTCATCAGACAATTAAATTCCTTCAGTGAAAAAATTGAAAATACCTAATTCATTACGGAATAACATCCTTCATCCGAATCAGTTTTGCGGTACTGGATTATCACTTTTTGTTTTGATTTGCAGATCCTGTTTCTGTATCTTCTATCTGAAATGGCTGATTTCGTAGATGACATATTCAGTGATGCAGAGAGGGAATTAAATTTGAAAATTCCAACCACTCTCAAAAATTTATTACTCATTAACGGCTATGAAAACCTAAAAATCATGCAAGACTTCAGTGAAGATGATATTGATAACATTGAACTTTTTGCAAGGACAGAACTCTACCATAATTTACAAAAAGAAGAACTAATTAATTTCTATGGAAGATTATATGTGAACAATCCTATGAATTTCAAAGTCGTGATAGGACATCGGAAAATATTACGATTACTATCTACATATTTCAAAAATAAAAATCGTAAATATAAAGATCAGTCGACGATGACTATTCAAGAATGCTCGAAGAACATCAGTCCATGTGTAAAAAAATTGATGTCAGACACATCCTCGTGCACATCATTGTCAGTGGACTTGCCATTGGTGGATATCACCGAGGACATTACAGAAGAAACTACGATTGTTTCTAAGTTTCTGAAGAAATGGCTGGAATCGAAAATGGAAAAAAGTAAATGGTCTTCTTTCGACTTTAGCACTATCACATTTTCCACGTCACTGAATGAAACAAATCAGTTGACTTGTAAAATTAAATGTATATGCGGTTCAGTATATAGGATACATAAAATATCCAAAAAAGGAAATAATCTTGTAAGTTATGCTCCCAGATGGATCTATTCGAATTTCCAAGTTCATTTTCTGAAAAAACATATAGAAAATGATCCTCAGGGTGAATCACCTAAAAAAAATAAACAGAAGAATCTCAAAATAACAAATTATTTAATAGAGAACAAAAAACAAAGCCGTAAGATTAATGTTGTTCAAACTGTCAACTTGAGGAATTTTGAACCAGTTCCTACTCTCCCGTCTTCATCCCTATCATCTGACTACAACGAGGACTGCAACTTGAGCCACTCTGATGACCAATACACACCACAGCTTACTACTTCTGATATGCAACCCACGGATGGCGAGTATGAGGAAAACAATCACATTATCACAATGGACGAATGTAATATTGAAAAATCGATTGAATTAAAATCAGATGAAAATGTCTCCGAAGTACAACCAATTGAAATTGGAGTCTTGGATGAAAAAGTTATTTGTAAAAATAGTATTTCTAAAGGAACCACGGATATCACCATAACTAATTCAAAGTGGACATCCCCTAAATATACTCGCGAAGCACGAAGAAGACGAAAGCGCGAGAGATTCATATTAGGTCAACAGTTGATTACAAATTATGTTCGTCTCTTACAAAGTGTCTCTAACGTTTTAGAAGAAAATCCAGATATAGAACAAACCTTTGAGGATAGTATAAAAGATATCCAAATTAAAAATAGCTTATCACATGAGCCATTATCTACAAATATGTTTTTGAATAGTCTTTTAGAAATCTGTGATCAGAATTCAACAAATCAAAGTAATAGAAATGCTTTCAACAAAACTATAAAGCAATTTTCTTTGTATATTTTATATGTAGGTGGACGTTTACTTTACGAAACATTACATGCTAATCTGACAAATGTTCTACCGTCTATATCGACATTACATCGATATGTATCTCAAAGTTACAACAAAATGCAGGAAGGGCAATTCAATTTTGAAGGATTGAAATGTTTCTTGGAAGATAGAAATTTACCGAAAATTGTTTGGGTGTCTGAGGATGCAACACGTATTACAGAAAAAATTGAATATGATTCTAGTACAAATAAAATTACAGGATTTGTTTTACCTCTCAAAAATGGTCTTCCCTGTACAGATGCATATATTGCTACGTCAGCAGACACTATACAATCGTTTTTTAGAGATGGCAAGATAGCTAATTATGCACAAGTCATAATGGCTCAAGCCCTAGGACGTAACGTACCGGCATTCTGTCTTTCAGTATTTGGTACAGATAATAAATTCTCATATATTGATGTTCAGTTGAGATGGGCATATCTATCAGAAAAGGCAAAAATGTTTGGTATAACAATTCTAGGATTTTCCTCTGACGGTGACACACGTTTTCTCAAAGCCATGAAATTGAATACTTTCGAAAGTCCTATTCAGAGAGTCAAGGATAATAACTCGAATAATTATCGTGATATTTTCAATTCAAATTTAAGAAAAGACTTCAATGATACATTTTATATTCAAGATCAAATACATATTATAACTAAATTAAGAACAAGGCTACTAAAACCTGGCATATGTTTGCCTTTTGGCAAATTTGTAGCAAATGTTGGTCATCTGCGACAAATTATTGAATCAAAATCGAAAGATAAACATTTTTTAGTAGCATCTGACTTGATTCCTGAAGACAAAATGAATTATGAATCAGCTAATAAAATGAGTAGCTCGAAAGTTATTCACCTACTGAAGGAAATTCCTGAATCTATCGGGACCCAACTTTTTCTTGAGATGAAGAGATCTCTTACAATATCCTTGATAGAGAAGAATGTATCTCTGAGTGAAAGAATTTATCACATATGGTTCACGATATTTGTCTTAAGGTACTGGCGCAAATGGATTAAAGATCATCAGGTATTTAAAATTCAGGATAATTTTATATCGACGAATTGTTATGTTTGTATCGAGTTAAATGGCCACATTTTACTCGAAATAATTGACACTTTTAAGGAAAATAAAGATTTGAATCCAGACATGTTCTTGCCGTGGCTCTTCAGCAGTCAACCATGCGAGAGATTATTTAGAACAGCTAGGTCAATAACTTCGACTTTTTCAACGGTCATAAATTTTAGTATCAAAAGTTTCATCTCCAGAATCGATAGAATCACTACCCTTAATAACATATTGAATGATCTACAAGATACATTCATTTTTCCTAGGGAAAAAAAGAAATGTCAAAATTATGACAATAATACTCATTTTATAGAGTCAATGGCCGATTTTGAATCTGTTGATATCGAAGAAATACTTTCAAACTCCCAAAAACATGCGTTTGAACGCATACAACAAGTTGAAATGGAAGTAGACGCGGAAGCATACATGTCGTTTGATATTCCATTTGATAAACGGGATCTCGTAAGGAATAATGAATTTTATGATGGTGATATTCGTGGAGATCCTCTAGAACATGAAATGAATGAATGTGAAGTAAACAGTGGCATCGAGAATATTCAAAATAGATTATTTGTGGAATTTCTTGATGACAATTCCAAACCAGATCTTGACTTGAAAGATTACAGCAATAAAGATGTTGATACTTCGGAAAATAGTCCTTATCTTAAAATGTCTTTAGACAAAGATAGATCGATTATTATAAAAAAATCAACATTTGTTTGGTTACTAGATGAAGGAAATGGCAGAGTGAGTTCTGATCGCCTGAAGAGATTTGTGGTTACGAAAAAACGAAGTAGCAGTACCGGTACAGATGCAAAAGCAAGTAAGCAAGTGAAAAATAAATCCAGACAAGAAAGTGAAACTGATCCCGATGATGACGAGGTGGTATATGATGACTCAACTGATACTGAACATTTCTCCGATGATGCTCATGATCCTACTGAAATGAATAATTCAACCCAACTGGATATTGAGCTATCACAGGAAAAATATTATGCTGTTATGTATGAAACAGAATGGTTTATAGATAGAATTACAAGCAAGGTTAGCGAAAAATATAAAATGAAATTTTTGAAAAAAGAACTACATTCATTTATTTGGCCCAAGACACCAGATATAGCCGATGTAGATAGAAAATATATATTTTGTGGCCCTTTGGAATTAATTGGAACTGGACCATTTGAATTGAAAAGGGCTGATTTACTTAACGTGAACAAAAAATATAAGGCATTGAAGAAAAATCTCATCTGTTAATGAGTTCTATTTTTCCTGGATTGAAGCTAGAATGACAATTATTTTAATATATTTTTTTAATATTTTAATATTTACCAAGTACCTGTTTACTTGTGATATGTATTTATGTTCCTAATTTTTAGTTTTAAGAATTATTTTTGTGTTTATTTTTTGTAAATGTTACTATTATAGCTACCTATATTTGAGAATTATACCGTTTTTTTCATGGAAATAAATACTATGTTTTTTACACTTCTTAACCGATTTCTGCATGAATCTATTTTGATAGAACACTATATTCTTTCAATTTCATCTTTGATTTGTCTATGCCACCCTATGAACATAGATTTGTAGACGTCTTGAAATCACTCTTCTACTCTGAGAAGCGTTTCCTTGTGTAATATTGCAGTATAGAGTTATACCTATAGCTCAGATCAACAAAAATATGTTGATAGCTCGGTTGATTGAGTTGAAAGAGCTTTCGAGTACCTTCACTATTTTCTGTCAGAGAAGTATTATTGGATACACACAAAATTTATTTATTGCCAAATATCATTGAGTATTTCAAATTTCTTTAACATTTTGTGATAACAAAAAAATTAAAGTCATATACCTAATCCCTAATATTAATATATCCATATTAGGTATAAAAATAAATTGGAATAAATATGAGGAATTGCAAAGAATTGCAGTGGAATTGCGAGGAATTACAGTGGAATTGCGAGGAATTGCAAGGCATTACGGGGCATTAGGAGGCATTACGAGGCATTACAAGGCATTTCGAGGCATTACGAGGAATTACGAAGCATTACTAGTCAATATAGTGAATTAAGGAGCATTATTTTGGCATTGAGGAATTAGTGTACATCATTCTGCTCAGCGAATTGCCCCTCGAGAATGACTTTACTTCAAAATTGCCATCACCTCCCAGAATGCCCATAAGTGCTGCAAGGAATCATGAATCTCCAGATAGGATTGATTCAGATGAAACCAATATTTATGGTTCAATAGAACCTTTACAGGAAATAACAAATGTTGATCTAAGAGCATCTGCCACAGAAATAACAACAGGTTTGTTCTTCCTAGAAATAACTGTATATCATTTTGATGATGACATCACTTCTGTTTTTATATTATATCTCCTATTATATAAAAGGCTTGCTCTAATATAAAGCGAATTTTATGTATTTCTTTCATACTATATATTAGGTGTAGAACAAAAACATTACCAATTTTCTCTTTTCAGATGTTAGATCTTGTTGTTGCTGTGATGACCATAAAATGGGTAAATATTCATCAATATATTGCTGGTTTTTGAACATATGACAAGAAATATCTATATTTGGTCGATTAATGAACTATTATTGGAAACATTCACAATCAATAATCCTATTAATTTTTTTACAGGTGACACCCTGAAGAATTTACTAAAACAACAGGTTTTAACTCGGCATATACTAAATGAGTTACTTGATGAAGTGCGCAAAATAAAACTAGATGCTGGTAATAATACTGATTCAACAAAAAGTAAAGTTCAGTCAATCTTCATTGCTTTTCAACATTTCCCTATCAATTCGGAAGAGACTTTGAGAATGCTAGAGGAATACCTATCTGAAAATGAGCATTTCAAAGCTGCTGTGAGTGATATTTGTTGTCAACTTTTGTTCGATTTTGACCTTTGTACATTTGTTTTCAGGTAACAGAACTTTCAAAAATTGGAGGAGCTACTTCATATGATTTTATGAAACGGAGCCTATCTTCCATGTTTACAAATGATTTTGCATCACAATTCAGTTGGCTGGGTGCAAAAAAGAAGAAAGTTTTTGGAAAGTTGAAGATAGCTGAACTTTTGCTAGGTGAGATATTGATTACATAATTATATCTGTAGGGGTAATTTCTTGATTTTCAATTCGGGCTACAGTTTCAAAATAGTATATTATCTTGTGTTATAAAGATCAATTTGTTTAGGATTATTTTAAGCACCACTTTTAACAGAAACACAGGGTTTATTTCCCTTCGTAAGAGTCTAGTAGTTGGAAAATATATGTTTTTATTTATATAAAAGGACTTCATATAATTTCAGAAGCAGCCCAAGTCTGTGGACTATCAAAAGATAGGAAATCTTCTGAAGATGGTATTAAAACTTGGTTGCGGAGAGCTAGGGAGAGACATATGTCTTCTTTGAAGAAAGAAGTTCCACGAAAAGAAGATGCCAGTAAAGATGACAACAGTATTTTATTTTTGCCATAAAAATTCTTCCATTTTACCAAATGATTTAATTTTTTTTATTTCACTGTTTTAGGATTTCTTTTATTAATTTTTTGTGTGCTGGTTGGATTTTTAGTCTATGTTCTGCTGTGTTATACATATTTTTTCTCACATTCTACCAGAATATAATATATTTGAGTTATTTGTACCTTTCTGGTCGAAGGACCTCGGTCGATGGCCTGTTGAGTATTAATTTATACTCAATAAAGTTCATTTATCATTATCATTATTGTACCTTTTCACAGAGATTTCCATTTTTTGACATGTTTTGGGTGATGTTTGATTTTATTTATGTTATTTTTTGTGTGTGCTGATTGGATTTCTAGTCTGTGTTTTTGCTGTGTTTTAATTTTTTTCTCATATTCTACCTTTATACAGTGCGTCCATAAAGTAACGCATAAATTCTATATATCTCTGTTATACACAGTATTTGCGAAAAAGCCTCAGACAGGTCGATTTTATTTTTCGATGACGCATTTTTACAATATACAGGATACGTATTTGAGTAAAATCTGAGTTGACAGTTTTTTCAAATGAAAACACCTGTATTTTATTGCATTTCACGATTCTCCCTGAAGAGCTGATTTGATCGATGTATCACACTTGGGGTCTAGCAGAAATGATTACAGAGATATTGTAGGTGAACTTCAGGAATGTTTTGTGTCGAAACTATTCGTTATTGGTCAAAACGACTTTTATGTCCCTATCTCAACTCTTGATTTACTATCTACTGACATTTAATTGAAACAAATACAGGGTGATTCAGAATTCTGCACAACCCTGTATCTGTTTAAATTGAATATCAATTGATAGTAAATAAAAAGTTAAGATATATGTATAGGTATATGAAATCCGTTTTGAGCAATAATGAATAGTTTCGACACAAAAAATTCCTGAATAAGTTGAGAAATCTCGATTTTTCACCTACAAGACCCCAAGTGCGTGAAACATCGATCAAATGAGCTCTTCAGGGAGAATCATGAAATGCAATAAAATACAGGTGTTTTCATTCGGAAAAACTGTCAACTCAGATTTTTCTCAAATACGTATCATCCTGTCTGAGGCTTTTTCGCAAACATTGTATCACAGAGATATAGAATTTATGCGTTATACTTCTATTGACGCACTGTATACATTATATTAAGTTATTTGTCCCTTCCCACAATAAAGGATTTAATTTTTTTTGTGATCAATATATTGCAGGTAATGTTTAATTTCATTCTTTATTAAATATTATTATTATAATTATTGTTCATTATCATACCCAGTGAACCATTATCATAATATTTCAAACCATGAAATCAAATCATGGACATCCGAATGTCATCTGGAAATTAATTCAGGGATTATGGAAATGGACATCTAAATAGTATCCAAAGGATATCCTATGGACGACCAATGGATATCCTAGTCCGCCAACCTGGATGTCCATAGGATATCCTATATGAACACCCATGAAAACATAAGGGATATCTTATGGACGTCCATGAAGGATATCGTATGGACGTTCTTGAACGATGTTCTATGGACGTCATTGAAGGATATTTTATGGACGTCCGTGAAGGATATCCTATGGACGTACAAGTTGGTGGCCTCAGGACATCCATTGGACGTTATTTGGATGTCCATTGGATATCCAAAATATCCTGAATGGATATCCTATGGACATCCATCGGATGTCCATGTGTTGTATGGGAAGTAATTCGTTTTGGTAATTCTACGGACCCTTAAAATCACAACAAGATCCCATTATGTGTTCCATATCGATAAAATACGTATCTATCCTTGTAGGGGAAAAAAATCCATTTGAAATATGCCTGACAGAAGGTTCATAATTTTTTGAATCTATTCACCAAATTTGACACAATTTAAAACTCGAAGTGGGCAACACTTTGTATGACAGTATACCGGGAGTGTCAACGAATCTATCAGACAAGCCATAACTTCTTGGATATTCGGTGTATCTGAATTAATTTTGATATGGGTGTATCAGATGTGGAGAGGAAAGTTATCACATATTTTTGAGTTCCCGGTCGCTTCTGATTTCACCGGAAATGGTTCCGGTTTTGATTTTTTCAATGGGACACCCGTTATATCATAACATTTTTCAATTTCTAAGTCGTTTCTGGATCAGAATATGACATTTTCAGTAGTTTTTACGCCTTCTTCATTTTCGAGTCATTTTTGATATTGCAAATAAGTTAACCGAAATCGGATGTAAACCTATTTAATGACCTCGGCAAAAAATTATAATCGCAAAGTTTCAGTTATCAGTATGATAGTTGGAAGAAGACAAGATGACAAAATCACATTTCTGTATCTAACTATTTTTTTTTTCGATTGGCAACCATTTTCCGAAAAGCATTTTCTGAAAAAAGAATTTTTTGACGAATCTAATGATACAAATTTATTTACGATTGGATTTAAAGTAAGAACCTAAAGTTAATATTAGTATAGAAAATACTGAATATTTATTCATTCACATTTGTCAAGTGTGCAATGG